CTCTCTCTCTCTCTCTCTCTCTCTCTCTCTCTCTCTCTCTCTCTCTCTCTCTCTCTCTCTCTCTCTCTCTCTCTCTCTCTCTCCCCCTAGATCGAATCCTTTCTGAATGCCCTCAGCGCTCACCCTCTCCTTACTACTATGTCTCTTTCCTCCCTCACTCGACCCTCTATGGCGCCTGGCGCTGGGTAACTCCTCCAGTTCACCCTACAAGTCTCACTCGAAATGTCGCACAAGTATACAGCAGCGCTTCCGCAACATGCAAATGAACAAGTGAAATCGCCAGGTACTGTAAAAGCTTATGTAGTAGCTGCCCTTGACAGTCTTTGTCTGCTCCAGACTGGTAACTGTCCCTCAGGGGCTGTCCGCCGCAGATTGTTGTCGGTTCCGAAAATCCCCAGACCTTCCCTAGCTGCTGCTGCCAAATTAGGACTGGGACTCAGACTTCTTCTGTCGAGTACCAGTTCCGATCAACCTACTGGAGTTCTGCCAACTTTGGACTCCTAACGACCTACGGGTGTATTGTACCTGGACCTTGGGACATCTGGGACTGGGACACAGGAATTGATTGACATGGGAAATCCTTCAACTCCTGGGGTCATAATTTTGAGGTCGTCTGGGAAAGCCTTTCCCACCTGTCCGCAATGTAATGTCTCTCCTAGCCTTCTCATGGTATATGACACTATGTTTGGGGCTGTCTTGCACAGCTCTTCTTGGTATACCATTTGTCGTCCTTGGGTCCTTGGTACCGGAAGCTGACCTTGTACTGCTGCTATGGTCTTCCCCTCCTACCTGACTTAAAGAGACCTTCATCTATAATACGGTCTATGTCTCACCGACCATCCACATCAGGGGGAAACATCTACCTTCATGGCGGAAACAAGTCATAAATCACCTAGGGTAGCAACTTAGAGGCATGGAACACAGGGTAGGTGTGCAGATGGGGAGGTATGTCCACGACATAGGATGGACCATCCTCATCACCTACGACATCCAATATTTCCCACGGCACTCTATCGCAAGTAACTTCTGAGATATTCCATCTGCTGGTAGAAATTCCTTAGACTTGACCCCAACATAGTCTCCAACAGCAAACTTAGATGGTCTGAGGTGCTTGCTAGCCTGTTCTACCATCCTGTGCTGCACGTGGTGGATATTGTCTGCAACTTTCTGTAGA